GGGTGCTAGAGATAAAAAATAAATCTAGCTAACATTATTATATCTATGTGAGACTTGCAAAACGGTCAGAAAGATGTTACAATAGGGTTTAGAGGTATTATAGTAAAGGGTTAGCGAAAAAACATGTGCAGATATAGAACAGTATATTAACTCCTAACGAGTGGATTGTATTAGCATAACTTGATAAAAAGCTTCAAAGCTCACCTTGTATGATCGCTTATGGCTGAACAAAGAGTGAACTGGTTGAGCCAACGAATTTTCAGGAAGGCTAGTCTCTATTCTCGTTGCTTCTGGAGCACGAATCACAAGTAACGTACTATTAGGAAAAATCTCTGTGAGATCTTGATGAGTAACAAATGAGAAGCGTTCATTTTCTAAATCTTCCTGCACGTTTCTTAAAGACTGTAGAACTTGCTGTTCATGCTGTTCTACACGCTTTTCTAGGTTTTCTAGATACTCAACTTCAGCCTGAAGCTCATCAAGACGAGCTTGTATGTCAGGTCCGTTTGTAGCAGCACTCCCGCCTCTAAGGAAAGTAAAAAATAAAAAATGAGAATTAACTATACATAGACTAAATAGAAATGAACAAGACGAGATAAGGCGCATAGGCAAGCGGCCATACGACAACGTACTTCCACTGAATCGAATTTTTTGTTCGCTTTTCAATCAATCCAATGCCTTCAAGAACGTTAGTGATATCATAAATACGACGCTTTTGCCTAACTGCAAGGAAGTCTGCAGCCTGAGGATAATTAGTAAATCAATAGAACCACCATCTTAAGATCCAGAATGCCATCAGGTGCTTCCTTGAGGAGCTGTACGAAACGTTCGGTCAGTAAACCCAGGCTTTTTTCATGCCTATTTGGATCCCTTATAGTCTGAGGGTCTAACTGAAACTCATTAAATAAAGAATGAGGCTGTGCGGTATACATCTGATTCAGACGACGTTAAGCAGTTAAGAGAAATATAAACAAGTTGATAAATAAAACGATTAACTAAATCATAAATTAAATGTCAATATTTACACGTTAAATTTAAATATTTTTTTT